CTTCAGACCCTTGAAGAAGTCTGTGTACGCAACTTCGTCAAACAGTCCTTGTATCTGAATTCTCATCAGATTGAACCGCCTGACATAGGACCGAAGTCCCTCCTTGTCACCCTGCCGGATCGCCCCTAGATCGAGGCTGGTTTTCTTGGCTGGGATATTCATGGAGAAGTTGGACGCGAACAGATATGCAAGCGTCTTGAAGTTATTGATGCACCCAGCCAGCAAGTTGCCGAACCACTGTTGGGCTATGCCCTTTAGTGTTGCCGGGAAACATCGACACCAGGCGGCGTCGTCCAACCCCTGTAGGTACATGAGGTTGGTGTACGCCATCAAATGGTCTTCTGGGTTGGTGGTGCCATCGTAGGTACCAACCAACACATTCTTAACCTTAGCCGGCTGTGCCGCCTCGGTTATTTCGCGGGAGAAAGCCAAAGGCTGTTCCCCTAAGTTTAGCAGCCTGAGCTGCTAGTCCATGGGCTGGACGGTGTTTGTCGCCATTCTCCCAAAAGGAGAATGCTGCATGTATGGTGATCCAGCTCCAAATGGCTGTTGAGTCCCAAATGGAGCCTGATGGATCACATGAGGGGCAGTACGGATGGATGTGTCGTGCGTGTGGCTCCTCGGGTGAGTTTCCGAATGCTTGATCGAAGAATTACGGAAGCTGTCTGGGTATGTCGACGTTGAAGCCGTCTGGGACATACTCTAACCTCTCTTATCTTCGATAAACAGCCGGGCATCTGTGAAAGTCTTTTTTGAACCATCCGGTTGTATTTGCCGGATGGCCTTTCGCTGCCCTGATTCGGGGAAACGAATCTTTGAGAGGTCGATTAGGGGCCCATCCCCCCCTCTAGGCTTTGGGTGAGGGGTAGGCACCCGGTCTTTGGTGGGCTTCTTTCCTGAAGCCCTCTTGGGCGACTGGCCCTTGTTGGAACCAGCTGACTTTTTGAGGATGTCGGTGATTTCCCCTTTGAAGCCACTCATGAGGTTCATGAGCTCATCTCTGGTGACGGGGGCCGACCCCTCCGCCGCCTGGGTCTGTCCGGTATGCTTGCCGCCTGGGTTGTTGGGGCAAGCCTTGTCTAGACCTCGTTCCCTTCTTTCTTTGGAACGAGTGCGCCTGGAGGTTTCGACATTGCAGTCGTCCCCACTTCCACTTTCATGATCCGTGTGGACCACAGGGTCAGCCGTGGGCCGGCTGCCCTCTGCGTTTGGTACATTTTCAGATGCCATCCAAGTGGTACTCTTCCCACAGACGGCGCCAAATGTTTCGGGGGTTTTTGAGGTGTCCCACGGGAGAGTTACAGCACCGGGAATGTACGCCTGACTTCTGTACCTGCAAAACCACGAAACTCCAGTTGGGTGGAGTTTCGCCTCCGACGGTCAAGTTAGAACAACTTCGGATGAAATTACGTGAAGGAGGTAAATTAATTCTCTCGGATTCCGGGAGATTCCGCAATTAATATTGCTCGGGTTTTGTGGATGTATTTCTGTATGTCAATAAATGAGGTAGATTCCTCTATTTATAGCAGATGGGCCTGCTCCCCCATTGGGGGTACGATACCACGTGGCATCCATTGGTTGGATGCCCATGGTGCAATGGGGGGATGACACGTGTCAGATCCCCCATAGGGCCACGTGTCCAGGGTAACTTTTACCCTAAACAGTAGTAGTAATAATAATAATAAATTAATGATATTCATGATAAAAAAAATATATAAAAAAAATAAAAAATAGCATCTCAATGCCATACCTAACACTTCATTCATTTTCCATTTATCACTCTATTATTCTCATGTGATAAGATCCATATCATATTTGCTAAATTAGTAATTTATATATACCTAATTAGCACTAAATATCAAGGTTAGTCCAAACAATGCTAGCTAGAATTGCCCATATGAGTGATGTTAACTTACACTCAACTCGTTACATATTTTATTTTCATAGCTTTTATATGAGAGTGGTCAGAATGTGGGTCCCTTTTGTTGCTACTTCCTGTTGTAAGATCTCATTCGTGCATAATTCTCTATATAGTGGTCCATAAAACTCATGAGAATCGGCCAGTTCTAGTTAATGAGGTGGGAACTTCATTGTCAATTTTGTCATTGATTATTTTGAAAGTTGGGCCCAAGGGTTCGTCTATTATATATTATGGTTAACAATTGGGTAGTGATCCCCTATTTGGAAAAACGTATGTAAAGAGGAAATAAAATGAGTTGGTGAACGTACTGTTTAGCATTCAAGCGGGTTTATATAAAAGAAAAGGTAACGAGGAAAAAATGTATTTTTTTTTTTGGTGTTTAGAGAGTCACATGGGCGGATGATGAGAATGTATCCCAAAATCTATGAATTTGGGAAGAAAACTCTAACCACTTACCTGTCCCTCACTCTCTAAAACCTGAAAATCTGATATCATTATGATGTGGATTTTTCAAGACTCTAACAAGGCTCGTAAGTTATAATAATATTGGATTTTTGGATTTTAACAAGAACTAAAGAAACTACACGAAAATAAAAAGGATAATATTCTAATTCTCGCAAGTCGCAACTAGAAGATGATCACGAGTCGCAACTAGTGGTATTTTTATTAACAATCAAACGAGCAACGCTAAAAGGATTAATTCCCAAAATAAATCTCTCTTCATTATTTAGAATCACTATTGATATGCACCCATATTTATAGGGTGAAAAATTGTACAAAGATAAGATAGGAAACTAATAATTATCATATCCTAATAAGATAAAATATTGAGAATCCTAATCCTAATATATCTCCTAATCATATTTGTAACCCACTACTAAATCTATCCTAAAAAAAGAAAAATTAAACAAATAAATATCCTAATGACTAAAACTCTTAAAGTCTAAAAATAGGAAAAATCAAAAGGTAAAAACCCATAGGCATAAATCCTAATAATTAATAATAACTAAAAAATAGTGTAGCCTTTTTAAAAACTCTATAAATTTTCAAGAGAAACCCATGTTAGACTATTGCTCTGGCATCACTCTCGAGAAATTATATACTTAAAATTGAAAATGATGTTAGTAACTTAGTTGCAAGAAGTTTTTAAATGGGAGGATTTAATTTTAACAGTGAGTAGAGGGATTTGGATATCAATCATATTATTCAACTTGTAGACTATGGAATAAGAGGCTTTATTGAATGAGACATTTGGCAAATGATTTAAAGTGTAAGAAATAGTTTGTTTATAGTTAAAGATTTGATTAATTAATATCATACCATCATTTAGTATAGAATTTATACCCTCGTAAATTCAATATTTAGACTTCAAATATTAAATTTGACAAGTTTTTTGAAAAATAAACTGGTGTAATTTTATTGTGATTTACTCATATATTTAAGTATAAAAATCGATTTTTGGAATGTGTACATCACCCCCTTGATGGGTTGGCTGACTTGGCTCCTTTCACAGTTGCACACATCTTTAGAATACGGTTTAGGTGGACCTTAGCAAATTGACATTTTAACATGGGGTGGACCATGTATACTCAATACTCTATTACTCCCCCATATTTGTACACAACTTATGTGCTTGGAAGCACTAGACATATACCATACTTGATGCTACAAGTAAGAGACTATGTGGACTAGGAGAGGAGGGACCGCTCTAATTGAATAATTGTGATCTTTATGTAGACATCAAACGTCATTTTTGGAAAAATAGGTGAAATAGTGTTACACGACATTAAACATAAGAGACTACAGTAATAACAAAATGTAGGCAAGATTGAATATTAATTCTAAGTTACCAACTAATTTAGTTAATTTTATTTTTATTTAAAAAGTGATAACCACCATATAATACATGAGATAAAATTCTGTTACATATCTTAATAAAAATAAATTAAAAAATTACGCCCAAGTTAGTCAACGTGAAGTGACAAGTCGACCTTTTTATTTTTGGGTGGATTCGTTATTTTATTTCTTGTACATAGAGCATATTGAAATTGTAATGATTCACATCATTAAATCACACACCCCAATTGATTTTTGAAAGTAAATGGAAGGTCTTATGGTCTTACGGAAACTCAAAACGAAAAAGATACAAGTGGGACATGAATGAAAAGCAATAGAAAAGCCAATGTCACATTCTCCTACCATTTTTCATGTCGTTCCAAAAACCTATAAGCCCACTGAGAGCTTCACTGTCCTAGATGAGAAATGATAACTTATTACTTTACACACACCTTAATTACATTCACAAATTTCCTCCTTCTTTTAACTTGACCTATTTGCATTATATATTTAATGAAAAAACACTTCTATTTGTATAATGAAGGCACATTCTATTCATGTCATATCCTAAATATAATCAAACATCTGAAAGCAACAGAAAAAGATAAGAAATTTTCATCCTTATATACCATAGCTAAAAGGATTCAAACTTAAATTACAAAGTAAATCACGAACTATCCTTACTCGGTGTAATCACTATGATGATTAATAAGTATAATCAATCTCATTATGTGCTTATTCTACCTTACATAAAACAATCCTCCAATAAACGAGTATCATAAGTAATACGGAGATACGAGTATTGCTTTGACAAATACACATATTATCATCCGTTACTTTGACAGTTCACCTTTATCCACCCTCAATTGACAACTACTCAGGACTCGATCGGTAAAACCTATTCGTTATCGCTAGTTTTACCAAACAGAACATACGAGTGTTACATATAATACGAATATACGAGTGTTACAATTTTAAGTGAAACGGAGGAAATACAAGATAATCAAACTACTCCACCATGGTTCGAGGGGAAAGGAGAAAAGATGTCACTGTCGGTAAATGTACGGACAGAAGGCTAGGGGAATGACCACTCCCCAAAAAAAATACTAGAGAGTGGGACCCACATCCATACCTGATAGGACCCACTAAATTCATACTGCTCCGTCAGAGATGGAGGGCGCTAAATGGGCCCCACCTCCTTCTCTTCCTCCTCTCCTAGTCTCAGTTCCTAGCCTACTACAACAGTATCTCTATTTGTTTTTTTCTTCCCACTTTTCATTTTCAGTGACCTATTTTATCTAAAAATTTAAATAAAAATGAAAATCTCCTAAAAAATCTGGGTCACCATTGTCTCCAAAAGTGGAAAAAGGAGAGGATGAAGCAAGGTTGTTTTGTTTGTTTGTTTGCATTTTTTTCAGAGTGATTATTTTTTGGAATTTTAACCAACAAAAACAAAAAAAAAAGAAAAAAGAAGAGAAAAAAGTGGCTGATTTTTTGTTAACCTCTCATAATCTTTCTTGTTATTAGCCTTTTTTTTCTCTGTTTTATTTTTTACTTGCTTTTCTTTCTGTGAACTGAACCTTCATTTTGTTCTTCTTCACTTCAGGTATTGATTCTATCTCCTTTTTTTTTTTTTTTTTTTTTTTTGGGTTTATGTTTTTAGTAAATCTAGGGTTCTGTTTCTTTTGTAATCTTGAATTTTGTGATATTTATTTTGTTGGGTTTCTAGTGATTGAACTTTTGTTTGGAGTTTTGTTGTTTGACATACGGAAAAAAGGCCTAATCTTTCTTTCTGGGTTTTATGTTTTTTTTGAAGACTTACTGTTTTTGGCATTATTTGGTGTTCATTGTTCATTTATTAAGGTTATATTTTTGTTGGGTTTTTGAAAGTTTGCATCTTGCTGTGTGCTGGAATATGGGTTGATAATTTATGTTTCATTTTCTGAGGGTTTTGAAGAATTATGATTGCTTAGATTTTGATGTTTTAATGCGGATTTTTCATGCTGGGTTATGTGCATTTTTGTTAAATGTTAAAAAAATCTGGTTAGAGATTGCATTTTGTTCTCCGGCTAATTAATTTGTGCAAAGTTGGAGGATGTTGTTTGATCTTATGTTACTTAGACTTGGATACTTATGTTTGCCACGGCTGGAGATGTGTCTAAGTGTTAGACTCGGCTATTTAATGTTAATAAATTCATGTTTTTGGTATAAAATGAAGAGTTCGAGTGGTGGGATCTCACCCAATTGAATGTCATTTTTTGTAAAAGTAATAATTTTTGGGGTTAAATTCTGTGTTATTTTGTTCCCTTATCCTATATAAGCTTATTTTTAGTGTCAGATTAGTGAATTATTTCTTCTGGCATTATTGTAGGGGTGAAAGTTCTGAGAAACACTTATTGCGGGTGGTTAAGTGAATTGGAAGCTGTTGTTGAAGCTGAATACTGATAAGTAGTATGGAGAAGAGTAAAGTTGATGGTAATGTCTCTTTTAGTGGTCACATTAGTCATGGACTCGCTTCCTCGACTGGCGAGAACAAAACAAGTGTACATAATCCTAGAGATGCCGAGGTTTCTACTGTTTTGTCTGAAAGGTTTCACTCTGCACAGCAGACTTCTGTCAGGAGCGATCTGAGATCAGAAACTGGACAAACCTCTAATGGAAAGAGGAAAGAACCAGATTATTCATCTGTGACGGCAGAAGTCTGTCATGAAAGTCATACCAACAAGGGGCCTGACCATAATAAGCTACTCAAAACTGATTCAGCATCATCTAAAGAAAGTGGTGAAGTGGTTCAGCTAAGTTCAGTTGATTCTACTGATCCGAAACCATGTCAGTCCTCCAATGAAGATTTGGTTGAGAGGAAACCATTTTTAACTCAGTCACATGAATCAAAAATTGTTTTTCTAGAGCATGAGTCATCCGTTGTAACTACAAAATCAGATTCTACAGCTATTAGTTTGCAAAGCTCACGTCATTGTAACTTTGATCTGAATGAAGGTATGGAGGAAAATGGAGCAGAATTCCACAAAATTCCACCAATATCAGTGGTAGCAAAGGTTGGGGTTCCTATGGGCTTGCCTCAGAAACCGTTGCAGTTTGGTGGAGAGCTTGGATGGAAAAGGTCAGGAAATATCAGCGCTTTCCGTTCCACTTCTTTCATGAATTCTGAAAGAGGAAGTATAACTAACAGTAATAGAGGGTTTGACCTCAATGTTGCTGCAACAATGGATTCAGAATATCCTGGTGAAGAGACTTCTGTGGACTTCACTTCAAAGCAGCCTGAAAAATTTCTCCTTGACCTGAATTGCCAAAGTGCAAGTGATGTAAATCATCATAAAGCTAGTGCATCAAGTTTTGATCTAAATGACAATCCTGTGATCGAGGATACACAGAACTACATTCATCATAATCAACACAGTGAAAACCAGCAGCTGCTCAGAAAAAGTGTTGCAGCTAACACAGCCACTTGTTTCAGAGGAAATGCCAGTCAATCCAATTTTGAATTGGGAAGACCTTCATACTGGGTTGATCTTAGTTCTATGCGAGGCTTTAGTCACGTTCAACCCCACCCTTTTCTTGTGGCTGCCCCGACAGCTGAGCAAGTGCAGATGATGATACCTTCTGGACTTTACATCGGAAAAGTTAACAATTTATCCCCTACATTACATCCCCCTAGTCTCCCACCACACCTTAACAATCAGCATGGTGCTGCTGCACTTCCCCAAATATCAGGTTCTGTTCTTGCAGCCTACCCTGGGGCTGTCCAATTCCTGGAAAGTCCTCAAGGACTGAATCCTCATGCTTTAGCAAACATGAGACCGACTTTCTTTCCCAATGGTAGTATACCTCTTATGGAAAATGGAAGCAGGGGATTTGGCACCCCGGAGCTTTTGATTCCATTGAAGAATGGATTTTTTGAGGCAAGAGAGAGGCCAGTTGAACAGGTAGCTTTGCCGCCTTCTCAAATTAATTACAGACAGATGGCCTCCTGGAACTAGAATTAAGTGAAAATCTTATTTATCTGATCTAACAGTTCTAGTAATGCAATGTACATAAGTTGAGTAGCAACTAGATTCTAGACTATTGTAGATTGCTTACGGGAAGTCAGACAACAGTTATAATTGGGATTTACTACACGATTGGGTCCTCGTCAGTTCATCTTTTACACTTGCTTCAGATTGGCATAGGCGTTCATGTATGTTATGTATTTGATTCTCAAAGATGGTGAAGTCACATTTATTGAAGTTGACTTAACCATAGAACTGCAAGTGTTTGAATCTTGTTCTGACATTGAGGTTAGTTCTGTACAGAGTACTAGTTTGCATTTTTCAATTTGATCTAGCCATGTTTTGGGATTTATTTGATGTTTGTAAGTTCTTTCTATCTATGTTTCCTAGAATTTTCTTGTGCCTTTTATTATACATTCTTTGCTTATTGCTCTCAACTGTTCGCTTTGCAATTAGTTGGACATCAATAGCATGTCATTCTGAATCATTCTTTTTTTTTTTTTTTTCCTTTTTTTTCTTTCTTTTTTTTTTCACATAAAACCTACTTCAATATGTTCATTGTTTGTGTTCTGTCATTTTGTTGTGAATAGTTGATGTTGAAGTTTCGCAATCTATAGTTGTAAAGATGCCAATTTTGATATGTTTGAATAGAATGAAACTCCTCATAGTGACTTCTGATTGAGAAAGAATATTTTGCTCTATATGCCACAGTTATGTCAAGGATGTAATAGCAACCTTCATGAGCCCCATATATAGAATCGGCTTCATCTAGTACATTTGTTGATCAATGATCTTGTTAGTAGTCGGCCACTTGATTGGACATAACTATATGCACCTTGTCCTCAATGCCTTAGAAATTTCAGAATCATCAGATGAACTGAAGGTTTGTTAATTGTATCCTAACACCTTGGCCAGTCTAAGCATTAACTTCAGTCTTCAGATGCGATATACTCTGCATTTCTTGTTGGCTTTGGGAGAACACTACTTTGGTGCTTTATAAAGTTGGTTGATAACACACTGTAGTCTCCATTAACAAAACTGAAATTTGGTATGAAAATTTTCTTTAACCCATATGATGCTTTCTGTTATTTTGTCTATCGGCCTTGCAAAAATACCAACATTATATATTGAAACTATATGCGAATGACTCGAGTAATGTTATGATTGAAAATCTAACATGTTAGGTGCCTATTACATCTGACCAAAGTTCCTTCCTTTGAAACAAGTATTGTAAAGACTGAACTGATATCTCAAATACTAGTAGAAAAATACACAGCTTTTGATTGAATTGATTACAGTATTTAACAACTATAATTACCAAGATTGACAAGGGGTGGAATATCAAATTTCGCAAAAGTACTTCAAAACCATAGGACACCATCCTTTATTTAAAAAATTATATAATAAAAAAAAAAAAATAAAAAAAAAAGGCTTGTGAAACATGGACCTTGGGCTCAACTTGCAGTTTGTCCAAACCGTTTATTGGGCCCAGCAAATTTACCAACATTTTTTTAGTAGCTAAGGAGAAGCGTTATGTTGTACTTGTATATTACACATACCAATCGGACTCAATCTAACAAACAACTAAACAAGACCTTATGTGAGGGGGGAGGTAAGAGAATCCCACGCCAAAAAATTGTTTAGTGAGAAATTAATGGAGTAATGATGCATGAGTTGTTTGTTTTTGGAGATTAGGGACATTAAGTACAAGCTAATGTTTTAAAAATTTATTTTTACCATATTTGGAGATTAGGGACATTAATGGAGTATAGCATATGAATTTTACAATAAATCCAGTAATCTTTTTTATGTCCATAAACAATAATGAAATCGTAGAAATTGACAATAATTTAGGAAATCTCCCATACAATCATCCAAGTACCGTTTTAGAGTTTTAGTTGTAGCACCATAATCCTAGGTCGTAAGCTTGTAACTTATAAGTGGTTTGCCATATATGTTCGTACTATATAATATTGTACATTAGTTAATGATATATGAATATAATTACATAAATTTATGAGATTGGAAAGTTTTGCTTACTAAATCTCAAGAGTAAATTATTCCAATCTCCTCCTACAAGAAGCAAAAGACAGTGGAGGTCTCACTTCATTTCGTACTTTCCTGGTCATATTTCACACTTTATATTATTTTCATAAAGCTGTTATAAAGCAGTTACATGCACTACAATTCATCCACTTCCTTCTCTTTTTTCATTTCATTTTTTAAAATTTATTAATTTTATTTATAGCAATTATAACTTTGTAAGTATGCTTTAGAATGAAGAAATGAAAGTGATGGGTGTAATTCACTAGTTTTTTGCATGTTATATTACGGGGTGTAACATGTACTTTGGACCATCTAGCCAGGCTGGTTTTCACTACAATTTCAGTTACCTTTATCTCAAATTTTCAAATTATGTTTTTTTTAAGGGATTTTTTGCATACCCATATGTCTAAGTTATAGATGTTCCAAAGATGTTCTATGATAGAACATAGAAGTAATTAAGTAGATAGACGATTAAACAAGATCGAATCCTTACAATGTACGTAACTCTCCATAGTTCTCCAAGGCATTCCACCTCCATTGACAAACTTCGGATAGGAGTCCATTGGGAAGCCTATTGTGCATTGCTCGCCTATTAATCTAACTCTTTATAGTGTTGATATTATCATATTATCTCTTTTAAAAAAAATATATCGACACGAGTAATAATAATAAAAAAAAAAAAAAAAAAACTAAATTGTAATTTACTAAAAATGAACTTAGATCATATAATATACGAAGTATTAAACAACTAAGGGACAAATGTAGTTAAACAATTTAGGGACAAATGGAGAAATTTATAGAGTACCCCTTTTGTAAATCTATATTAGTAGGCAATTACGCAGGATATGATGAGGAAGTACTTAATTACTACTTAAAAATAAATGCAAAAAGGTGAGCAATATTCTACTCTTATGGTGTGAATGTGATACTCGACAAACATCCATCTTTGACGACAGAGGTCAGATCTACACGATTACACACCAAAACTTCAAACATTTTTTTTAAGAATTTTTTTTTATTTTGTTATTTTAATATTATTTATTTATTTATTTATTTTTGGGGTTGAATAAATAAATAAAGATGAATATTGAATAATAAAAGGAGGTAGGGACTAGGGAATATCAGCGCAGACCATGGCATTAGCATCGGTAACGCAAGGATCTTCGCTTAGCTTTTCAGTGAATCTTTGTTTTTTTAGTTTACTTTATAAAAAATTGAAGACCACAGACTGTAAATGTCAACTAATTTGGTTAAATTCTTCGCTATCTTTTGAATGAAATTACATTAAATCTTGTCTACAACATTGTCTATTTTACGAATAATTACACCCTCAAACAAAAAAAAAATGTTCTCATAAAGTAGGTGATTATAATGCTATAGGTTGAATTAGCATTTGCATGTGGAATATTGAGTATGATGCTTTCTAGCTTAGTCTCTATATATTCAATAACCAATAAGACAGCGAACCAACGATATCAATAAGGATTGCAAACACATGCGGTTCTTCTCTTGATGAGTTGATTCCCTTACTTTCCATATTAGTCTCCTTACTTCATCATTTCTACTTTAGACTAGCTTTATTTGTTAATGAATGGATTAGGATCAATGTTTAATCCATGATTAAGAGGAGATCAACCATCTCTAACGAGGACCTCAACATTCCTCTCCGTTCTTTTTTAATTTTTAATTCTTATGACTTCTTTTTATGTCTCATATATAAAGCTTCTCAAACCAAAAACTAAAAAACGAGAGGTTATTCATTTCCATATGCTAATGTGTTCCAATACTGCTTTCCTACTGTTAAGAACTAATAAAAATCTACTTGTGAATTGTCACGCATTGAAGTTACAAATATCCTTAAAATTAATGCCAACTAAATAAATTTTGCATCGAACCTCATTTGTTATTAACGAGTGTATCTCAAACCCATATAATCCATCCACCTTTTAGAATCATTGTTTCTTAAGTTTCTCAAAACTATTTGTACGAATAATGAGAAAAAATAAAAAAGCTTTACCTGATAATTTGTTTTTGTTATACTCCAAAATAAAATCAAACTATATATTCGTGCATCATCATCATTATCATCATCATATTTACAAGTCCCTAGATAATAAGGGTCAGTATAATTCTATATTCCAGCTTCTTAGGCCTTGTTTAGTTCACCTTATTTTTACTTATTTCAGAAAAAATAAGTTCAGATCAGATCAGAAAAAATAAGTTCAGATCAGAACATCGTTTTATGTGCGGTTTTTTATCGCTAAATATTCTTAATTTCGTAATGAAAAAAATTGTGAAAATTACATATTAATAAACTACACATTATTACGAATTTAACAAGATCCCACTTGATATATTTTTTTCCTTATAGATTATCGTACACTTAAGGTCAAAGTTTGGTCAAATCAGACAATCAGATCAGATCAGATCAGGTTAGAAAAAATAAGTTCATATCAGATCAGATCAGCATAAATAAGGTGAACCAAACATGCTTACATATAAAATAGTTCCATTTGACAGACTGTACAATTTCTTGCATGCTTTTGTCCCTTTTATTATTGTAGACAACATTTTAGATTTTAATTAAACAACTTAAATTGTTTTTGCTTGATCAATGCTATTCCAAATATAATCAAACTATATATTGTATTGTTTTGCATGATCAAGTAGTATATTCCAAATTACAGCGCTTAAACACTTCACAAACGCCTTTGAATACTTCGTATTTGTTTTTGGTTAAATTGAAACTTTAATTAAATTAATCCAAGTGTGCCAAAACATACATAAATAACCCTTTATTTTTCATTTTAATTACTTGCTTTTTGTATATAAGAAAGGAAGAAATATAATCAATTTTTCAATGTACCTCGGCATATACGAAGTATATACATGATACACGAATAAAAGATACATTTAATTAGACATTTTTTGTTCATTTAGTAAAATCACATAATATTCAATACATAGACTTTTTATAATTACACATTTGTAAAGCACTAAAGCCCCAAATGTTTCGGGGTTTTTTGATGTGTCCTGCGGGAGAGTTACAATTCCAAGAATGCCCTTCGCCGCCTGTACCTGCAAAACACGAAGACTGCGGTTGGTTGGAGCTCCGCCTCCGACGATCAAGTCAGTTACGTACAGGAGGAAAGATAGTGCGTAAATAGTGAAATTACTTCTCGCGTAATGGGAGAATTCCGCAATTAATATTACTCGGGGTTTGGGTGTAAGTGTATTTCAAATTTCTTGAATGTATTTATGAATGCCCATTAATGAGGATTCTCCCACTATTTATAGTGGGGAGCCTTGGTTCCTATTTAGGGTTTCTAGGACACGTGTCAGCAGGGGATTGGAGCCTGCTGACCAATGGCTGGTGCACGTGTCGCTCAGCCATAGGGCACGTGCCTGGGGTATTTTTTACCCCAAACATTTGCCCCT